CTGCCGCGCCGCCCGCCTTCCTTCATTCCTTCCCACCGCCCTCCTTCCTTCCCACCGCCCTCCTTCCTTCCTTGCCGCCGTCTCCGGTGCCTCGGGCCGGGCCGGTGCTCGCTGCAGCCCCCCCCCCGGGCGGGCCGGGCTCCCGCAGCCCCCTCGCTTCAGTGATTCTCGATGCAAAGTCACACTTAAAACCCTTGTTTGTTTGTTTGTTTTAATCAACGAAGTTGAACAACAACAACGCTCTGTACAGTAGTTAAATTTTATTACAAGAGTAATAAACTTAATGATTTTTAGCACTAAGGCAATCACAGTTTCATAAGTTACATATATATATATATATAATTTACACAACTCTACATTCGACAAAAATCAAATTACCAGTCACATCAAGGAGGGGTTTGTGTTATGGCAAATAAAAGTTCATGAAAATTCACAGTTAATCTGCAAGTATTTTAAAGATGCAGGAATCATATTGCACATCATAAAACAGTGGATGCTGACGGGCAGATTTACAGTGTTCCAGCTATTCCTTCACAGAATATACCTTGGTCATCATCATGCAATAACTTCAAATACAGAATGGTAGCATGTACCACAGTAAACAGTTACTCACAATGTAAGTTTTAAATAGAGTAGCAAAAAGCTGTTAGGTTTCTCCTTAAACCATATTTAAACTCTTAAAATACAATAAAACACTTTGATAAAATCAAACGGAATTACGGTTGTCACATTATATTTTTAGTACTCTTCTTTGTCTTTTCCTTTCTTTTCCTTTTCATCCTGCAGTGCAGTACCAAGTTTCTTGATAAGAACTGACAAAACCTTGTCCAAAGGATCCATGACACCACGCTGCAGCCACTTGGGAATAGTAGTCCTTGCGTGGTGAAAGCCCAGCTTTTGGAGGATGTAGTCAACACCAACAGGATCGATTTTTCTCCCAGTCCAGGATATTAATCTAAAAAAACCCAAAACACCCACAAAATAGGTGAGCTTAATCTATAATATATAAATATAGCAGCTGGCATTTGTATAAGCAAACATTGATTTATTTTTTTTTTACCATTGTTACTTCTGACCAACTCCAGTCCAACAGGCATTGTTTCAAATATAATTTTTACAGATGAGCTGAAGATGACCAATGGAACGTCCCCTTCAAAGGAAAAGTATGCTCAAGGAGGCAAAAAGCAGACAGGACTGCCTCCTGATCATGTTTAAATTGATTTGTATTATTCTTGATAACACAAAATGCCAACTGTCAGCATTTATTTGGACTGGGTTGATGTATTGTTTTGATATGTGAATGAACACTTAGGTGCTCCAGCAGTGTCAGCAGAGATTGAAAGAAACAAACAAACCCTGACACAGAGAAAAGTAATTTTCAGGAATCAGAAGTGTATACTGAGAGCAGAGAGTTGCTGCTATACACACACTGCTTTTGTGCTAAGTTCAAACTGCCATTTAGCACCTTGTATACAGTACTTTTTTATTTTAAGGTAACCGTTTAAAGAACTACTAAAGCTGGAATGCTAAAAGTGGAAAACTAAAAGATAGAAAAACTATGGCAGAAAGTGAATGGATTGTTGCAGGACAGAGTAAAACAGGAATCTCTGGCCCTTGATGACTTTAGTTTTACTGTACCCTCATTCCCAAGAGCCCCCAACGTCTTTAATTGCCATAAGCTCTAATCTAGAAGTTAACTGATGTAACAGATAATAGCATTAGCCAGCTTTGGTCACATCCTTTTTGTCATTTCATATTATTCATACCAGCGCTAAGTAGCCAAAGATGAATCTTCAAGACTGATCCTCTTACAAGCTGAACAGCATCAGCTTGGAAACACTTGTGGTTTGCAGGACAGTTCCCACAGATAAAATGCCAAGAGAAAGAGATGGCAGATAAGCCTGGGTTGTTACCTCAGCGTGGGTTCCAAATGCCAAGTATTGCACATAAATTCTCTCCAGTCAACTGTAGTGTAAGTAATGCTTTCCTCTGCCTCTTTGTCAGCAGAGCTGTCCTCAAGAACACCAACGGAGTTTTTCTGCCCTGGACGAGCAGCCAAAATACGAGGAGGAAAAATTGCTACAAAACAGAGGAAAAACCCAATACCAGTCATTCATGAGCATCTCACTTGAGTTCTCTTTGTACATGGTTAATGAGACACGGGCACACATTGCAAGAAAAGAGAGAACCATCCTGAGTTTCAGTTTTACATGATTTCTGGTAAACAGTTTTGGTTTGAACAAAGTGCTAGTAAAAAAATATCCTATGAAAGCAGGAATGGACACTGGGTTAAACTGGAGTGTGGAACTCTCCCATCTCTCTGCCAGTCAAAAGCATCCAAATACAAGGGCTTTCTTTCCAATTCATCACAGCATTCAACAAAGCTTATCACATTCCATAAGCAAAACTCAGTCATGCTCCTAGTTTAGAACTTTTTTAGATTGACTAAATTTTTAAATAAATGCTCTCATTTTCTTTCATACTGATTTCTAATGCTGCTTCTCCCAATTTCAATGGAAGTCAGGTTTATTTTTTTTTTTATTAAAAACATTTTTAACAAGTCAACTCTATTAAAAAGCATGCAAGTATTCACTGTCAAATAGTCTGATAATTGCAGTTTGTCAGATGAGTATTACTGCATAAATAGCAACTTACCTTTTTCTTTTTCTTTTAGATAAGCAGACACCAAGTCATGCAGAAACATGATCAATTCTGCATCCATAGTTACACAAATGTGGTCTGTAAATTCAGTTACTACACTGCATTCCACCTTTGGTTTAACACTTGTATCTACAGTCAGAAAAAAAAAATCCTATTAGTACACTTGTAAGTGATACAGTGTACATAAAAGTACGGAGAATTTGAATACAAATACAAGTTATTTGAAAATTACATTGCTGTTAATGAACCAGAGACTCTGTCTGGTTCATGAACCAGAGTAAAAAGAGGAAGAACTGCAATTAACATCTGTGTTTAGCAGCTTCAGCATTTCTCAAACAATTTTTGCATCAGAGTAGCTTCTGATATATTTTTTAAGATGTTGAAAACAAAGAAATATCACCATGTAACAACCTTGATCATTCTCAACAGGGACAGTCAGCCTGCAGCAGTATCACTGGCTTGTGCTATGCTATCAGTGCATGATTTTAGACAGTAAGAAAAGCGGACAGTAGATTTTGCTAGTTTGGCAATTAAAAAAACAACCAAAGCCCAACAGGTTTACTTATTCAGCTGTACTATCCAGGATCCAGTATGGATTAAAACCACTGCTAAACCAAGAGAAACATCTACATTATTATCTTACACCTTCAGAAGTCTTATTTCCCACCAGTTCCAGTTTTAGTCTGAAGATAACATTTTGAAAATAAGAGCATAACATCTAGGTTCCTATCTCATACTCTCTCAGAACAGCTGTCCTCTTTAACATTTTAATAAAAATAAGAAAACCATCCCCTTAAGAACAACCAATCTAGCTGAAATGTTCATATTAATTTATCTTAGTAATTTTTTTCTATAGTGACCACTCTCTGTACTAGATCTTCACTCTCTCATCAGAATGCCCTCTACATGTTATTATGAAATTGTATCCTTTCTTGCAAATTTGCAGCAATTCTCAGATTAAATCCTCTTCTCATATCAGCACAGTAGCTTTGCATGTTATCTTCTCACTTCTGACAAATGGTCAAGAAAAAACAAATGTTTACTGCACCTTGTAATGAAGGCTCCTGGGGCTCTTGAACGTGAATAGATTTAAAATCCAGCTGCATCCTTGGCAATGCAAAGATGGTTTCAGTTTCATGGTTGTAACTGGAGCCACCTCTGAAGCCACTTAACAAGCTTGAGCTTTTCACTGTTGTGCTGCTTTCTGGGTTGTTCGCATCAACATTTCGAAGCAAGTTTAACTCTACAGAGACAACAGGAAATTCCTGAATTCAGTAGTCTTTATTAAAAAAAAGGTTCTCATCAGCACAGAGGGTGACAAATATTTAACAAAATATTTCTCATAATAAAAAGGAAGGTCATAAATATCACTTCCCTAACATCTGGGCACTTCTAAGCATCTTTATTAGGTTTCTGGAAGCTTAAAGTCCAAATGTTATTGATCTGACCACTCTATCACAACTCTGTTGTAGTAATGATCTTTCAGTTGAGATACAGAAAGTATGGGTTAAAAGTGTGTCCTTTGTGGTTTTAAATACACTAATACTTGAAATGAAAATAAATCTGATTAATACAAGTAATACCTAACTTCACCAAGGCAGCACTGCTGTCAGAAATAACTGCTGACCAGGAATCCAACTTTGTCACAAGACTTTTACCACAGTACACATGCAACATCATTTGAATTAGCTTTCAGTTGTTGATGTTGTGACAAGTTAACAAAAGCTACTATTTAATTGTAAAACTGCTGGTGTATGATGGTTAAGATTGTATCCTTTATCCTGCTCCCCAAAGCCAG